CCAATTCCTGTACTTGCACTCATGTCGCAACATAGCGCGTATTAAGGCAGGTCACGCAGATTGACAGCTGCTTACCCGGGGAGAATATTCCATCACCGCGGCCATCCTGCCAGCCAATGATCTCTCTCATCTTCTTCAGCGTGACGTATTCCAACAGCACGAAGACTGGAGCCACCTCATAGGTGAACCTGTTTGCACAGATATCACATGACCCAGTTACACAAGCCAGAAAAAAATGCCACGACAAGCAAACATCACTACAACCTGTTTCGCAACTGATGCTTGAGAGGATTTTGCAACAGTCTGCAGGTTCTCCAGCAGTGTGTCACTGCAATAAGCTTAAGACAATGATATGGAAATGTACATTTTCTGGCAAAATGTGAATTTAAAAAAAATATATTTTGATTTTTTAAAGAATACATTCTAAAATGTTTAACATTTGATTTCTAATACAAGCAATTAAACAAAACGGAATTTTGTTCCCCCCACAAAAATCATTACATTGTTATTACATTGTTATTACATCGTTATTACATTGTTACTACATCGTTATTACATTGTTACTACATCGTTATTACATTGTTACTACATTGTACTAAATTAAAACTTTAATTGCCAACATAAAATTATTGTTCTTATTAGCCTGAATGTAATTTTAATTTCCACCTCATTTTCTCTCTGTGAAAGGCACAAGATGAGAGAGTGGAGGTTATATTTGCTTGTCTGAATTCATCAGCTTTTCACTTTATTCCTTTCAACGGATATCTGTGAGGTTAAGCCAGCCACCACAAAGACCAGTCCAAAATACTGCTTATGAAAGCAGAGAAAACGGAAATTATTTGTATTTTAATGGACGGAGACCAACACTCACATATTGGTGTTGGCAGTGGACGTTAGCCAATCGGCAGCCAAGCCAACCATGTCTAACCCAGTGGAGAGCTGATTGAAATACCTGGGGTGTGCTGAAGATAGAGATAACACAGAGGGGAAATACAAAATTAATCATTTAACATATTCATGTCCCACTAAATCTATAATCTATTTATGGCCCTCTATTAATAGTCGCCTACTTCAGATGGAGCTCAAACGAATCTCTGACCGGCGCAGACAACAAGGAAATCAATCAATCTTTATGATCATTCATGATTATTCCCAAAACGACAATCACTTTTCGAAATAATGCCTGTCAGTTAAAATGCCACCAGAGAAAATAAAATCGTCCCTGGACGCATTCATTTAATATCACGGCATGTTCTGATCTGATTCGTTTCGCCTTCAGGCACAAACACACTCTGATGTTTGTGGTTCTGTCAGCTAAAAAAACATATTTTACAAGCGAGACAATCAATAGCAGAATGTATGTCAGATTATATATATATATATAGATATAATGAATAGGAATATTAGAATACACAATAAAATATATACTAGTATGAAAACTGTTATACACTGAAAAATAATTCAAGTCAAGAATAGCTATTTATACCAACAAAACGAATTTTATTGGGTTAGATCCAATAGAAATAACCCTTTTAAGGCAACGATTGCAGGTTACTACTTTTTACAGAGTATAGGCTATCCTTTACAAATTTGCAACTGAAAACGCTTACCCGTTTTTATGGCGTATTTTAGCGTGGCGCGA